CACAAAGACACTGCTCCTGTCCTGAATTATATTACATCATAATGTTCTGTCATCATATATTGACTGCAGCCTCTAGATCAAGGACGACAGTCACTTCAGTCAGCTGTTTCCGTCCAAATGTCCAAAAACAACAACTTAAAGTTACTTCATCTGGGTGAAGTTGGGACACCAGAGGTCCACTGCTGTTTCCTTAAATAAATCTATCACCAGGATTTTCTCTATAGGTTTCACATGGATGTCATGTGACTGAAATCGCTTTTCTTGATGGGGTGACGTCACAGGGAGGGGTCAGAGCACTTGTCAGCCAGGATGCACACATTGGTTACATGTGGTTGTGGTGAGATTAAAGTTATATATAACTTATATGTCACAGGTAAGACAAGGTTCCTAATCCTTATCAGTTTATGTATGTGGTTTATTCAAGTATCAGATCTGAAGTGTTGAAAATATATTTTAAAATTTTAAGTAACATTTATATTTTTTTATTAAGAGACTTCCTGAAGTTGAACACATCTTATATTCCAGGTTTATAAGTCTAATGACATAAATATTGCATCAGTTATAGAGATATGAACATTTCTAGCTGCTTATTTACATTATTAAATATATATTTTAAAAAACATATAGTTATTATAATATTTTCATAAATAACATTTCTGTGAATAATGTTATTTTTCTCATTCAACTCTGTCGTTGTCATTCAATCATAATTATTTTTAGGAATTTATATGATACTCAGTTTCTCATGCATTTATATTAGGCTTTGAAAAAAACAACAACATTAGAATATATGGTATGTCGCAGATTCTCTTGATCCAGACATAAAGGACAGAAACAGGAGTAGCATGTGTCCTCCGGGTAAACTCGGAATTGTGTTGATCGGCATATTGAAATAAAATGCAGACATAAAAAGGTCAAAGACACAAACACAGTTAACCTGAACTCACTGACGAACCTATTCGTGTTCATGGCTGTTTGTCTGCATGTCCTCTCTGTCCTCTCTGTCCTCTCTGTCTCTCTGTCCTCTCTGCGGTGGGTCCGGTCAGTCACCAGGCCCGGGGCCCGGCTCTGTGATCGGCTCAGTGACACGGTCCAAACAGTGGCTGTTTGTGATATTCATCACTGCTCTTACTTTATGAAGTTATTTTACCGCTGCATGTTTGGGAAGGGATCGCACGTGTCGTGCACCCGCGCTTGTGTCAAATCGCCCCGTAAGAAATTGAACTTTTTGGAAGATGTTAGTTGTTATCTATCGATTCTGATCCGCAGAGAAAACGTATTTTTTTATAATATAAAATATAAAATAAATAGTAAATGTTCTAGTATTTATTGTATTTATTTGTGTGTTTTTACATGATTTTCTATTCTTTATCATCTCTCAAAGCACTTTACACACTTCTCACAGTGCATCTATGTGCAGCACTTTGTTTTTCACATATCACTCATACCTCACATCAGCCATCAGAGGCAAATAGGGGAGTATTTTCCCCAAAGACACTTTGGCAAACGAAATAGAGGAAACTGGGATCAAACCGCCTACGTACTGGTCAATGGACGACCCGCTGTACTTCCCAACGTATTGTAATTTACGGAGCAGCCAGTGTTACATGCTGCAGATAGGAGTCAGACAACATGTGGGGCACGATACGATAAGTCAAAATAAAATGCATGTGCAAGTTCTCTCGCAGTGCGTTTCTTCATGTATGATTTCCATGCGTGAGGATGTGTTATCGACTCATGTAGATGCATCCTCTTTGCTATTTGTTTTTTTTTGCAAATAATTCATTTTTTCTTTGTGTGAATATCTTTTCAATTATCTTTATTAGACAACAACACGAAACCACTCGAGGATTCCGAGTCATCGTGTGAATCATCAGCCCGAGAACATATTAAGTATTATAAACATGTAAGCATATCAAAGTAATATTATGTGTGAGTGTTCCTTTGTGTAGTGATTAAAACAGAGCTCTTCTTTATTCCTCATATCCTGCTCCTCCCTGACTGTCCAACTTTGTACAGCCGCTGTAGCACGCGATGGGCCTGCTGTCTGTCTGTTAATATACATGCACAACCATCCAGAGAAATAACGTCTGATGGTGTAAATTCACAGACGACGACAAACATGGAGTTTATGGAGGATTTTCCTCCTCGGCCCTGACTATTGTTTAAATCTCTATAAGACCTATAGTCCTTTTTTATGACACAGTATGACCAACAGTCAGACACAACACATGATGTAATGAAATAATCGGTTTGCTTTCTTTTATCATTATATGATTAGACACATCCAGTATGAATTGATTTCATTTTCCAAATCATTTCAACGACTAAAGCAAAAATCCCTCAAACGAGGGTCGAGGCCTGTTTCTGCCCCACACTGACTCCACATGTTTAAAAGTCAACACAGAGGCAGAGTTGAGGAGAGGAAACCATACTAACACGTATTGAGATCTGTTTTGATAATATGTTAAAGTGAAAGACACGAACGCAGCTCCCGCCTAGCTTAGTTCAGCTCATGTATCAGTTGGGTGAAGGACGTGAGTCTCTTCGTGTCCTTCTGGTTAATCATTTCTCAAGTGAGCCAGTCAGGATGTTTGCTTTTATACCTTCTACACTGCACTGGACCGTCACTGACACATCAAGGCGTCTCCTGGGCTATACCTGCACACACACACGCACACGCACATGCACACACACTAACAGAGGCTTCAAGGTGTGCAGTGGCCTTGAACTTGAGCTCATTACATCTGTCTGTCTTTCTGCCCTCACCCCCCAGCCCCCCCTCTCTTTCCGTGTTAAACTTGACCTTGACCCTGAGGGGCCAGTCTGGACAACCCCCCCACCCACCCAACACACATACACACACCTCCTGGCAGACCACACTATAGAGAGACTGGCTGTCTGGGTGGCGTGCGTGTGTGTGTGTCTGTGCCAGGTTTTCCAATTGTCCTCACGTCCCCATGCTGTGTGAGTCAATTCAAACCAGCAGCCAGTTGTTGATAGTCCGAAAACTGTTGGTGTTGGTGATTTTGTTTTATTTTAATTCTTACTTGAACTTGAAATAAAGTTCTTGACCTTGGAAAGAGTAGCTTGACGAAAAAAAGAACCAACAAAAAAACGTACGTCTCTGCGTCTTTGTGAAGCTTTCACTAGTTTTCACGAGAAAACGTTAACAAATTATTATACATGATAATATAAAATAATAATATAATTTTATAATTTTAAACAACACAAAAAGAACATTAAGACATTTTTAAAAAGCGGCTAGATTCCTCTCCATCTCTAATCACTCAGCCCATGTATTTAGGATACATGTGTGGTATAGTTGCATTTTCTGTGTGTTGAGTGTTTAATGTCCCTGATACCAGCGGCCTCCACCTCCATCACCTGGAGAAGCTTCACACCTGCTGCTGACGTCTGCTTCCACCGAATGAGGCCGAGGGCCGCATTTTTAAAATGAGATCTAATCAAACCGTGGTGCGTATTGCGCACCATTAAGAAGCGTGCAGGCCTCCCCATGGGCCAGGCTGATAAAAGACAAAACAATCACAGCAGCGGCAAACCAAGAAACCACCAGAAAATAAAATACAGTCAAATAAGATCAAATAAAAATAAAATAGTAACCCAGGGCGGCTCAGCTGTTACCTCCTCAGCCCCGCTACACCCACAGGAAGTGTATTACAAGCTCGTGTTGCTGTTGGCAAGCATTCCTGCCAAACATATTATCTCATGGCTTCCACAGAGGCAACATCTGTGCAAAGCAATGTCTGAAAATCTGCTCAAAACAATGTTCAGTCAACAAGTTTCCAATTGGAATAATATGAAAAACATGACGAATTACAGAAGCTAATATCTACTGATCTACTGAAGAGCTGCGAGCAAACCGAGTTCAGGATGTGAATGTTGGAGTTACTGACTCTGACTTATCACTAATACGGCTTTGCTGGAACCACAACCCGTTATATCACCATTCAGGGAAGCTCTACGCACTAAATTACACGCGTCTGATTGTCGTTAGGTTACAGTCCATTCATATGAGCATTCTGTGCACACCAAAGATATTAATACATTTAAAGCCATCATGATAACACAATGCACGTGGCTGAGAAGCCTTTTCCAAAAGGGCTGTGAATCAAATCCGCATTTCTCCAAATCCACTATAAATTTCATTTTCTCTTCTTTCAGACAAAGCGGGCCAAAGGAAAGCACGCACACACTCAACGTCCAGGCGGGTTCAATCCTTTTTATAATCTAAGTTTTCTTTTGAACAGTGGAAATGCTCCTCGTACGTTATGATATTTAATACTTTTATGACAAGAATAAACCTTTTCAAGTATTTGGCAGTGCCGATTATAAGTCTTTAAATATATCCATAACTCTGAGTACTACTGAGCAGTTTACTCTGGAGTTCAAACTATATTTGTGGGATACGTGTCATAAACGGAAATTCGTTCATTCCTCTTTTGCTCTCCAAAATTAGCCATTTCAAAAATATTTTAATTACTGCATGTTTTACACACACAAATATTTGATTTCATAATAATGAATGAACTTTGTTGTTCATTAATAATATTAAATCAAATATTTTCTGGTTCCGGTATTACTGGCATTGCTGTTTGCACATGCACGTGTTCCCCATGCGTCTTTACGCACAGCACAATATAAGCTGTTTGTCATAGAGTGACAGAAATAATTCAACCTTCACAGGAGAACTCATGGTTCTTTGGCGTAATGCAGCTGCACGATGTAAAGCAGCGCGTTGAGGAAGCTGAACCGAATCTGCTCACGCTCTTCTCGTGCCACAGCTCCAGCCTCATAAAAATATTTTTCCTTGACTGACAGTCCCCAACACGTCTCTGCTTCTCCTTCTTTTTTACTCTTGTCACATCACGTGGTCATCCGGTCTCATCCAATGGACACACGTCCTCCCTCCTCTCCTGGTCCTGGGGGCTTGTTGCGTCAAGGTTGCGGCTGAGATGTAACCGGAGGTCCAGCTGGTTCCCCGGAGTCTTTGCCTGCGAGCGAGCGCCGTCACTCAATGGTGCAGCAAGGCAGCGCGCACGTGCTACGACAGTGCGCGTGACGGTCCACATGTGAATTACCTGAGCTGTGCATGAGAGCACCAGATCACCTCACTCAGCCAATGTAGCAGCCACAGGACCGGGCAAAGTCTGAGAGGAAACGGCGACGAACGGAGGCCAGATCGCGAAAAGTAGCGCCTATGACAGCCTCCCTGGTCCTAAACCCTCGCTGGCCAGCGGACGCGGTGATGTTTGTGTATGACAACAACCTGGACGACCTGAACAAGAACATGGAGGGGCTGGTGGGAAGCGGCAACTTCGCTGCAGCCACAGCGGCAAGCCAGTGCCGCAACATTATGGCGCACTCGGCGGCCGCGGCTGCTCTGGGCGGCCACCCATCCGGCCTGATGCACTCCTCAGCCGGCTACTCCACAGTGGACGTGTCCGCCTCTGGCTCCAGCGAGACCGGCGCCTCTTCGGGGAAGCAGTGCACGGCCGGACCGTGTCCGGCGGCCGCCGTCCCGCATCAGAGCTCATCCGCAGCCACCGCGTTACCGTACAGCTATTTTGGTAACGGCTACTACCCGTGCAGGATGGGGCGGGGTCCCCTTAAATCATGCACCCAGGCGGCCGGAGCCGCGCTCAGCTCACAATACATGGACACGACGGTGAACTCTGACGAATACACGAACCATCGAGCCAAAGAGTTCGCCTTTTATCACGGCTACCCGAGCCCCTACCAGTCCATGGCCAGCTACCTGGACGTGTCGGTGGTCCAAACACTGGGTACCGGGGAGCCGCGCCATGACACCCTGCTCCCCATGGACAGCTACCAGCCCTGGGCTCTGACCAATGGCTGGGGGGGACAGATGTACTGCTCTAAGGACCAGGGGCAGGCTGGCCACCTCTGGAAGTCCGCCCTCGCTGGTAATTAATATGTTTTTTAAAATTATAAATTCTTATTTAAACAAATGCTAATTAGTTGAAACGTTTAATGCTGCACAACCCAGCTAGAAAATACAATGCAGATCATGCCGTATTTAACAGAAACGATTACAGACTTTAATTTTGATGAAATGTTTTTAACCAATCTGATTCCTGTGTTTTTTCTGTGATAAACATTCAAGCATTGACACAACCTTCAAATGTTTAGATCAATAAACTTAGCTTATATAATATGTTGAGACTATCACACGTGGCAGCTGAAATTCGTTTCACTAACAGTGTCTATTCGCACATGGACGCACAAACATGTGACCTACAGTGTATCCAAGGACACTCCGTGCAGGTGCTGCTCGCAGACAGCAGACATGTTGCCTGTCTGTGTCACAGTTGATGTCCGTCAGCTCCAGGCATCAAGCCACACACACACTAGATTCAACAAAGCACCGCTGTAAACTTTATCACCCTAGACACCATGAAGTGTGTATCTGTGTCCCGGTGTGTGCAGCCTCGCACTCAGTCCGCTGTCTCTCTCCTCTGCTTCTTTGTCCGCTGTCAAACAGATGTGGTGGCGCACCAGCACGACGGCTCGCCTTTCCGCCGAGGCAGAAAGAAGCGGATACCGTACACCAAGGTCCAGCTGAAGGAGCTGGAGAAAGAGTACGCCGCCAACAAGTTCATCACCAAGGACAAGAGGAGGAAGATCTCGGCCGTGACCAGCCTGTCCGAGCGGCAGATCACCATCTGGTTCCAGAACAGGAGGGTGAAGGAGAAGAAGTTCGTGGCCAAAGTGAAGACCAGCGCGCCGTAGCACGCCGACCCATGTTGTTTGGACGATATCACGAAAGAACTGGCTTTGACTAAAAAATGAACTGATGCGAAGTGCCAAAAAGAGAGAAAAATTACGAAATTCGATGTGGAGGACCAGGACTGTGGAATGGAACAAGAAAAGACCAACAAAAAGGACAAAAAGGACAAAAAAGGTTAAAGAAAAGAACCAAAGCCCTCTGACCTTCTTTTCAGGGGCATCCTGTAAATACAGCACCTTCCTGCCTGCTTCGATCTGTCTGTCTCCTGTCTGTGTTTTACTGTTTGTCAGTGTTGTGAGTGACCAGTAGTCAATAGCTGAAAACACATTATTATACTGTCTGTCCACATTGTTTAAAACGCTTGTAAACCAGTAATCAAAATAAATTCTTTTAATCCTCATGTAGTATTAGCTTTGTATATGCTTAAATTCACCAGTGTCCAAACGGGGGACTTTGAAATCGTGTGCGTAAAATGCTCCGCCAACAAACTACTGTGCGCCCGTCACATGTGCAGACAAATGCGCGTTTGTCTCATGTCAAAGGCTGAAAGTTGATACCTGCGAAATGGACTAACAGTGTTTATGAGAGCGTGAATTCGTGTTTGGATCCGTCTCCGTCTGGAACATCACCACAACAACGCTATCCATATCCCGCGATCATTTAACAGGCCTGTTCTCTCCCTCACGCCAAGGTTCTGTCCCTCCACAGCTGCCATTTTTCTGCTGCTCTCAAGAATAGAGACTACGAAGTTTCTATATTCAATTCAATTCACTTGTATTTGTATAGCACCAAATCACAACTTACATTATCCCAAGGCACTTTGCAAACAAAAAGAGAAACCCAACAGTTTCCACAACGAGCAAACACTTTGGCGACAGGAGAGAACACATCTCATCTTTCACAGGAAGAAACCTACAGGTTTAAATATTTTAAAGAACATTAACTTTAATTACACTTAATGTGATTTGTAGATTTAACTTGTTTTCATATCCTTATACTAACTACTTTATTTTCCTGTAATGATGCAAATGACAACGTTTACCAGCATGATACAGGCTGATCTAATTATGTTTTAGTGTGAGTGCTACGATGTGAAAACTATACGCAGAACTGCAAGAATGACGAGAGTGAAATTCAATTTAGCAATCATAAAAAAGTAAATGAATGCTAAATAAAATCAACACACCTTTTTTCACATTTTAGAGTTAAAAGTGTGCAAAATAGACACGAAAAGCAGAAACAAATGGAATTGGATAAACGCATTCAACGGATATAGTTATTTGAAAGAACATTAGAAATTATAGACCAATGCAAATGCGCCGCTTTAAACCATATTATCCACGTATGCAAACAGATCAGAATTTATACTAAATTGCGCCATTGTTTGCGCGCTTTCTGCACCTCCTGTTGCCAGTGTGTGCGTGTGTGTTTATGTGACCATTATAATTACCATTGAACTTGAGCGAGAGTTACAATAAAGTATAATTGTGATTCATCTGAGTTATTTTGAGGAAATAAGGATAGGTTGAAAATGTGCGTGTGTGTGTGTGTGTGTGTGTGTGTGTGAGGCGGTTCAACAGCAGAGAAATTACGTTTCAGGTTCTTTTAACAGGGAATAAACACGTAAATTGATTTAAAAGTGATATAGAAAGATAAATCTCTTTCATTTTAAGGTCCCTACTTTACTATGTAAAGTGCCCTGAGATATTGTGTGTAATGAATTGGCGATATACAAATCAAATTAAATGTAATTGAATTGAATAGAGGAGCCAACAACATAATGAAATAGCTGCACATGTACATTGATTAAAAAGAAGCTGGATTCGGACGTCTCTCTCTCTCTCTCTCTCTCTCTCTCTCTCTATGTGTGTGTATGTGAGTGTGTGTCGGACCATTAAACATTAACATTGAACTTGACGAACGTGCTGAGCTGCGGCGGCCTGTTGACTCGCTTTACTGCTCGCTCTCTGTCCTCCTTTAAAAATCAACAATACGGACGGAAGCCCTGATGCTTATAAAGCCCGTCGTCCCCTTTGGTCCAAATACCAGAGAGAGGAGGACGAGAGGAGGTGGAGGAGGAAGAGAGGAGGGGGAGGAGAAGGAGAGGAGGCCTCTGAGCCGCACCACCCAACTCGTGTCTTTTTTCCTGCTCTTTTTTCAAACTGAAAATGTAATAATATATATATATATATGTTACATAATTATATGTTAATCTTGGATAAATGGGCCTAAATTAACCAAAAGTCAGTTAAGGTAAATTAATTAAATTAAAATCCAGCAACAAAAAAGGTAGTGATAATTGTAATAATTTGAATTGACATTGCCATGACATTAACCTTAATTATTTCCAGTGCTTTTTAAAGCATGATAGGCATTTGTGTTTTTTTCTACTCCTTCATATATTTCTGAGACGAAAAAAGACATTGCGCATTATTTTGTACGGCCCAAGCTAACCAAAATTTCTGCCTATGCAGAAAATATATAATAGGCATATAGGCAATCAACAAAGTTGAGGGGTCCTTTAGTGAAATGTGTGGAGTATTTCCTCCACACATTTCTGAAGTATAGTTTCCTTTTTGCCCAATTTCTGCATTTCATCATTGATTTGTGTGAAATCTGTACAATAAACTCCACTGTAACTACACCAGGCTGCACATGCAGCATCCAAAACAGTGATGCTGTTAACATATGAGATATCATTTCAGTACTTAAATGGAGCCTTTCTGCATTTGATCACAATTTGACTTAAAAATCAAAATGTCTTCCACCACACCTTTCAAGAAAAGTTTTGTATAAGTATTTTCATGGTAAAAAAAACCAACTTAATAGATAACCTTATATACATAATAGAATATAACTTTAGAGGGAGAGTCACTATGGGCAAAGCAAATAAAACAAGAGCAGGAGGACAGAAATGTTGTGCAGTGGTGTCACAGCCAACATGAGCTGCAACATAAACAGTTGAGTGCTGAAAGTTTAATGGGTGCTAAAGGTCAAAGCTCTCAGCACTGAGATAATGGATAAAACAAATATTCATGAGATGCTGAATGTCGACGATGACGATTCCATAAAAAAAATAGAAGGTTAATATCTCGGTTTCTTTTTTCACTCTAGAAACTCAGTGACTACACAAAGATGTTTGTACTTTATTTCATATTTCTTCAGCAGGACACGTAAACCTTTCTAATATTCTCAGCTTGATCACAGGGAACCTTTCTTTCATTCAGACATGAAAAAGTTTCAGATTTCTATCTTGTTATAAATGCAGTCAACAGAGCCAAATGGGACAGGGCGGCAGCGATGCATGCTGATCCTGCTGAGTTTGTTAAATATCCTTACACCCTTACACCTTAATACTGCTGGGTAATGTAATCTACTGCAGCGCATCGTATTTTATAAGATCATTATATGTTTTGCATTTTGACATTTTTACCTGTAAAGTAAAATTAGCTATAGCATTGAGGTAACTAAAAGTAAATATATTGCGAAGCAGAGTAGTAAAAAATAATGACCATAAACTTAGAATATGTGGAGCTCAAGTAGATAAAATGTGCAATTAAATACAATACTTGAGTAAATGTAATTAGCTAAATTACACACAAGGACAGTGTTTTTCTTATCCTACAGTTTCTTATTTCAGAGTTCTTAACACAAAATTAGGTTCATCATGCTCTTTCCCACTTTAACTCTTTCTTATCTTTTCTGAGTGTCATGATAATGTGATGTTATCTGTCTGGATGCAGCTCCTGTTTAGCAAGTGAATGCACATTCACTTCTAAGCTGAATGAATACACAGCCAGGGCGTTCAGTATATTCAGTATATTAGAGGGACTGTGAGCTCATGGCAGCAGCAGCAGCAGCAGCAGCAGACGTTGGTTACAAACCAGCCACTTAAATGGATTTCAGTCACTGTGGGAGCAGAGCCAATTAAAAGCGAATCCAGCTGAGATGAGAATCTGGATTAATGCGCCTGCAAGAGGAATGCAGTGTGCAAAACAAAAATATATTTCAAAATTCAAGTCAAATCTAAACCACGGTTTCATGCCTTCATCTAAACTCTTCATACTGTGACCTTAGAAATATGAACTGCTCACACAAGACTATTCTAATTTAATTAATGTCCCTATGGTTTGACAAATGTTTTATAGCCAAAGTCATTCACAACCCTCTCTGAACAGTTCCATCTGTGATGTCAGTCAGTACTCTGAATACATGCACGCAACACCAATCAAGTTCTGCCTCTTTACTGTGTTGTCCCACTGCTCTTATATTATAACAAATAAGAGAATAAATGTGTGAACACTAAGAAGTTTTAAAACCTAAAAAAACCAACGTTTTTATTGAGGGCACAGTTTCAAGAGCTAAGCAAGCAGATGGTAACTTTTATATATTACTTCCATTACGGTAGAAAACTAAGGGTATGCTGTTTGTTTGCAGTATTTATAACATTACTACTTCAGAAACAACAGTAATGAAGGTTTAGGTCTGAGTGTCATTAGAAATTAATACCATGGATGGTGTTTTGCTTTAAAATAAAAAAATAAAAATTCTTCCTTCTTATGTATTTGCAGCAGACTCTTCCAAACAGACAATTATTTTATTATAAATCTAATCATGTGATAGGACACTGATATATATTAAGGATGTTCAAACTCTAAGCCTCAACTTTAAAAAAACCCAGCATAACTCTGAGGTGATGAAATTCAGAGAAAAGCTTTCTTCGCCATCATATGGGGCGTTTCATTTGTGAGTAGAAAGCTCTGCATGGAATCTGCTGTTATAAACTGTAGCAGAGCGGAAAGCCTGTCTCCTCCCTGTGGGTGTAAAACATAAAAGGTGTTCTGACTGTCAGCTGTCTGTGAGCCGACAGACAGACGGAGCGCCACAGTGCTGGTTCCACCTTAAATCACACGTGCATCCTGTCCAACTCCAGCCATTTTCTATTCTCCTGAAGCCAACACAGTGGAATTGAATTAAACCTCAAAGTATTTTAACAGGAGAAATAATTGAGGTTTTCTATTCTATTCTATTCAATTCTATTCTACAATGGTTTATGGGAGAGAGGGAGACGAGGAGAGGACCAACCCCCTGACACACACACACACACACACACACACACACACATAGCTCCCCAGAGTATACTTTATGCTTCAGAGCAGGAATGCAGGACCGGGGCTCATTTTTCTGTCTCAAGTTCATGTTCAACAGACCCCCTCCCTCACACACACACACACACGCACACACATGCACTTACCCAACCATTTTTACCACCTTCTCTTTCTCTGCTCCTCCTCCTCCATCTTTGTCTGCATTGCGGCCCGTCTTTTTGTTTCCCAGTTTGGACTTTGCAGTTGAACTTGAGACAGACAGACAGCTTGTAAACAGTTTGTAGTCTGGCCC